GTTAATCAAACAGAACCAGGAAAACAATATACACAATAACAACAACAATGTAAGTGGACAGAACACAAACACTATTGAGATGGAATACTGCAAAACTGTGATGGATAAGCTTGGTCCCAAGGAAGAAATATAAGGAGAGACACCTCCCTCCCTTCTTTGCAGAGATGGGGGGCTCTAGGTAGGTAATACTGCATATAACATCAGACTCTTTCAATATGTTGGTTGGATGGAAGTGGATTGACCAATGTTGGGGGCCAGTTCTTGGAACTTATACAGATGTTCCCTGCCTGCATCCAGTCCAAGAAACTTAACCAGCCATGATGACTCAGGGGTTTATATTATGTACTGATGAAGAATTCTCTAATTGGCTGGGGTGAAGCCAAAACTAACTAACCAACTTCCTCTCTCTCTCTCTCTCTCTCTCTCTCTCTCTCTCTCTCCCTCTCTCTCTCTCTCTCTCCCTCTCTCCCCTCCCACCCCTACCTACACCATTCTTGGCTTGGAAGAGGTCTGTATTTAGTTTCCACTGAGAGCTGAGTGGGGGGAAAGGCACCTGTCTTAAGTACACGATTTTGACACAAGTTTGTGCCTGGGATAGGTCTGCTTCTTTTTTTTGTATTTCCTTTCCTGGGTAGATGAATGAGCTGCAACCTCAAGGGGGAAGTGTGTAGGTGGAAATCTTGTGAGTTCAGGAGATTCAAAGGTCTCACCCAGGTGAGTGACAGCTTAACAGTCCACTAGAATGGCCATGGCCCATGGCAGTGTCTACATCAGAAGCAGTGAGACAATTCTGACAAATGGAAAAGTAGTAATAGTCATTCAAGGGTAGGCAACTTTAAGGAATGAGATCTCTTGTGACCCCTTGTGACTCCTCAAAAAGTGCTGGCTATGGACTCAACAGAGGCATAGAATCTTAACTGGGCTGTCCATTCAGCAGAGAGATACACATAAGGAATACTTGGTAAAGATTTCATGGAAGGAGAAAAGGACTCTTGGTGCCAGGAGTTGTGAGGTAACTCCTCTGTCTCATGTATTTTCAATAAACACTCTTTGTACTTTAAGTTTGAGCCCACTTTCTTCAGGTACTTTGAGTGGGTAAGGGGAGAGTGGGCCACAGCTTTGGAGGTGGAATGTTTTGTATCAATGGTTTTTGCAATACTTTCTCAGAAAACTTCTTTTCTAAAAGCTAATGGCATATGCAAGTTGATTTTTAATGGGGAGCACATGAGTGAGGATTCATGAGGTATAATACTATAAGTACAGTACATTAGGTTTATCTCTGGGAGCCCTAACCTGTGAGTTCAAGGTCCTAGTTAGGGGAGTGATCCAAGAGGAGGTGCCAGAGTTGGTTTTGTTGAACTGAGTTTTTCTTTTTTTATTCTTTGTTTAAGGAATGACTCTCTGAGAAGGAGAAAGAGATACATAGGGAAATGCAGATGATGTAAATACAAAAGAAATCAAAATTCATTAGTGATGAAATTTCTCAACAAAATTCCAAAGAATATGAGTATTTTTCTTTTAAAAGAAGAGGAAAAGATTGTTTCGTCCAGGCAGCTATAGAAGATTCATGTGAAGCAAATTCATTGGTTCATAAAATAAAAAAAAATTCAGTATGGGAAGGAAGAGATTGTCTAGTCCATATTCCTCCAAAGTGAATTAGAGAATTCTTAGATGTTAACCAATGCCCCAAAATTATCTCTCTTCTTGTTGATTTGGCTAGGAATCTAAATTTTGACAGTTTCAAAGATTGAAAATATGAACCATGCTATAGTTTGTTTTGGCTTCCACTTGGAACCTTAGGTCCTTATGAAAACATTATAATCAATTATACAAGGTTCTTCAACTAGTTAATTGTTAACTAGGATTATTTTGATAGGGAACAAAAAAAACTAAGCTAAAGAAGAAAGATGACCTCATCATTTCAAAAATCCTTTCCAGCTATAAGCCTTATAGTTCTAGAAAGAAGTATTGTGCCTCATTTAGAGCTTTTTTTTCTTTGTATAAACATTGTGGACTAACAAATAATATTTTTTACATTATCAGACATGATCCTTGTATCAAATATTTTTGCATAATTGCTTTTGCTTGTCACTAAGGAGAATTTATCCTGGAAGGATCTGGGAGTCTTGATGATATAGAAAAGGCATCAGTGCAATGTATTAAAACATTGTGGATCAGCAGAAGTAAGGATCCTTCCTTACTGTGGCATAATGGTCAGGTCTCCACTCCCCTTAAGGGGCGTGGACTCAACAAGTCAAGGCCTTTTAACAAAGGCCCCAGGATGCCTTGCCTCTTCTTTTGTGTTTCCTTTCCTCTAGCAATAAACCTTCTGAATAGTGGAAGGTCCTACAAAGTCTTTGAGTGCTAGTGACAAAGATAGCATCAATTGGAATGATTTCAATTTACAATATATGTCACAAGATTGATCTGTCAACAAGGAAAACATTGGCATGAGAGAGGGAGGCCTCCAGAAGAGTTGCTTGTATTTTGCTTGAGTGTTTCCCTGGACAATGCCAATGTGGAAATAAAAGAGCTAATAGTGAATAAACTTATTCAAATCAATAATTTATTTTATTTATGAAGTCAATAAATTTATTAAACACTGTGTGCCAGACACTGTGCTAAACACTGGGTAAACAAAGAAATTTGTTTTTTAATAATTTCATTTTTATTTTATTTTAATAATTAATTTTAAAATTTTATTTAGGCAATTGAGGTTAAGTGACTTGCCCAGGGTCACACAGCTAGTAAAACAAAGAATATAAGATAGTCCCTGGCATCAAGCAGCTGGTGGCCATTGGGAGGGAATTATAAATTTATTTTGGGCTCCATTTAAAAATACCTACAGCATCTTTCCAATATCAATATGGGAAGTCAATAGACATAAAGAAGAATGAGAGGTTATTCTCTCTCTCTCTCTCTCTCTCTCTCTCTCTCTCTCTCTCTCTCTCTCACTCCCCTTCTCTGAAGGAACACAATAAACCCATAAAACTTCAATATAGTTATAGGAGGAACTTTAATTTATTCTGATCCCTTTCAGTGTTCCTAAAGGAGAAGTGAAACATTATAAGTAGGTCCATATAGTGAAAAATTAAAGACATTATAAATGAAAGCAATAGTGGGAAATGCTTAATGGAGCTACAGCAAATCAACACACTCAAGATCAGACATCTTCTTTTTTCTAGGACATTGATTAATGAATAAATCAAAAGTGAAGAAGGGGAGATAGTAGAAGAACAGAATTCTGGAAAAAAACAGTAAAATTTAAAACTGAAGATGTGATGGTTTTAATTTAAATAAAGAAATACAATTTAATTTAAATCAATCTATTGCTAAAAAGACTCCCTCTAGACTCAAATGGTTCATACTAAAAAGACTCAATCTAGATTCAAGGGGCTCATATCATGATATTGAACAGAAAAGAATGATCATTTCTCTAACTTCTCTAACTTCTCTCTTCCTGAAGACATAGGAAGTCTTCACAAATTTCTCAGGTAAGCCTTGTGCAGGTGCAATCCCACCAATGATAGACATAAAACAAAACATTAATTTATTTCTTTAATAAGTTTTTATTTATACATCTCATTGTGCAAAGGAATACATGCAGGCTATGATAAATTTATAGACTAATAAGTCACATGATTTGAGATGGGGCTAGGAGATTGATTTGAGCGCAATTAGATCCATAAAATGAAGAAGAAAACTAGGTGACCCTTAAGTCTGTGATTCTTTCGATAGTCAGAACTAAAGCATATTACTACAGCTTGTGATTGATTGTAACACTTATACGATTATAATGCATTTAATAAAGAAAATTCCCCATCTTTCAAATGATCAACCTTAAATGGGGTTGGAAATTGATTAATCAATTTGCAATGTGCAAAGATACTCGATATTAAAGTATGACATTTTATAAGCAGGAGCCAGCTTCACACACTGTATGTTACCTTTTAGAGAACACAATCAATTGTGTTTCCTCCACATTACTGGAGGTGATCATTTCTTTTGGTGTTCTCTGGCCCCATCCCTATTGACCTTGGGCAGATTTCTAGTCAGTAAGCAGCTGTGGAAGTTTTTGTGAGATTCCTAAGGAGGATAAGGGACACCATCAGATTTATAATTCAATTTTAATTTATTGTCAGTTCTGGATTTTCTCCCTCCTCTCGTCCTCTACCCATTGACAAAGCAAGAAAAACAAAACCGTTAGAAATATGCAGTCAAGCAAAACAAATACCTGAATTAACCATGTCTAAATCTATCTATCTATTTATCTATCTATCTATCTATCTATCTATCTATCTATCTATCTATCTATCTATCTATATCTATTTCAATCTGCATTCTGAGCCCATCACCTCTATCTGGAGATGGATATCATATTTCGTCCTGAGCTCCTCAAAACTGTGGTTTCTACATTGTCAGATTTTTTGACCAACTCCAACTCCCATCAGTGGAACAGAACCGTAATGCCCCTGCACCAAACGTGTTCCTGGTCTGCATTTCTCCTCGACCTTGTAAACACCCATTCGGTTCCAGAGGGGTCAGAAGCCAAAGTGTTCTTGATTTCAGTAACTCTGTGGACTCTGCTCTTCTTGGTTTGACTAGAAGCACGGCTTCCCTGTCAGTAGTTGCTACAACTTTAGTCCTTCATAAAATAGTTTGACTCGTCAACCTCTCCCGAAATGTAATGCAATGCTGCCACCTGGCGGATGTTCTGAGGCTTTCCCAATAAACATTCAGTCTCCTAGCTTCTCTTTAAAGTGACTCCAGATCTAATAATAAATACCTCTTGTGGACAGGGAATTCAAGAGTCCAATGAAAATATTCTCTACCTGTGTGCAAAAACATCTTGCATCTCTGGGCTGATACCGCCTGTGGCCGCTGTGGCACAAGGTTGAATCAAGGAGAAAGCAGCGCAGACAGACGCCATTGCTAAGCTACGCAGAGAGAGTGAAAAAGATCTTCGCCAGGCTGCAGTTTCTCCTTGCGCCCTTCGCCCGATGGCAGCTCTACAGGGGAAACTTCAGGCTAACAGGCAAATAGTGGTCCTTCTTCTCTTTCTGTGCGCGTCTGAGAGTGACGCGGGCACAGTACGGTATTCGGTGGCTGAAGAGATGGAGAGCGGTTCCTTTGTGGCCAACGTAGCCAAGGACCTGGGGCTGGAGATCGGAGAGCTGTTGGCCAGAGGGGCGCGGCTAGTTTCAGATGACAGCAAGCAGCATTTTCGACTCCACCGTAAGACTGGAGATCTGTTTGTGAAAGAGAAGTTGGACCGGGAGGAGCTGTGCGGGAAAGCGGACCCGTGCGTGCTGCGCTTTGAAATCGTCCTGGAGGAGCCGCTGCAGTCCTTCCGAGCCGAGGTAAGGGTTTTTGATATTAATGACAATGCCCCAGTGTTCCCAAACCACGGGACACTTTTAAAGATCCCTGAAAGCACTCCTTTGGGCTCTCGGTTTCCTTTGCAGAGCGCGCAGGATTTGGACGTGGGGCTCAATGGCCTTCAGAATTACTCTCTGAGCGCCAACGCCTATTTTCATTTGCATACTCGTTTCCGCAGCCACGGCCCTAAGTATGCGGAACTCGTACTTATTAAACCCCTAGATCGAGAGGAGCAGCCCCATGTCAACTTAACCCTCACGGCAGTGGACGGCGGCTCCCCGGCTAAATCTGGAACAGCTCAGATCCTCGTCGTGGTTCTTGATGTCAATGACAACGTACCTCAGTTTTCTCGGTTGGTGTACCGCGCCCAGATCTTGGAGAATAGTCCCAATGGTTCTTTAGTAATCTCAGTGTCCGCTACAGACGTAGACGAGGGCACTAACCGGGAAATAGCATATTCTTTGGCTCAAAACCCAGAAGGAATTCTCCAGACTTTCCATATCAACTCTGAAAATGGAGAAATCCGACTCCTAGGGCCAGTGGATTTTGAAGCTGTTGAGAATTATGATATTGACGTTCAAGCCCTTGATGGTGGGGGGCTGTCTGCTCACAGCAAAGTCCTGGTGGAAGTGGTGGATGTGAACGACAATGCCCCGGATGTACTGGTCACCTCCATTTCAAGCCCGATCCCAGAGGACTCTCCACTCAATACTGTCGTGGCCCTTTTTGGTGTGCGAGACCGTGATGTTCGAGTAGGAGGGAAAATCACCTGCTTCCTTCAAGGCGATTTCCCGTTTGCCATCAAACCGACATTCAGAAATTCCTACTCCCTGGTCACTGGAGGGGCCCTTGATCGCGAGAAAGTGCCAGGATATAACCTGACCATTGTAGCAATGGATACAGGGACTCCTAAGCTGTCCACAGAGACGATCATCGAAGTGCTGATATCCGATATTAATGATAATCCCCCTGTGTTTAAGGAGGCGTCTTATACCATGACTGTCAGAGAGAACAACAGCCCCGCAATTTTTATTGGCCAAGTCCTCGCTGACGACCTAGATTCCGAGGAGAATGCCAAGATTGCTTATTCACTGCTTCCTCCCGAAAGTGGCGATCTCTCTGTCTTCTCCTATATCTCTATTAATTCGAACAATGGGAAGCTCTATGCTTTGAGATCCATGGACTACGAAGCTATCCAGGCCTTTCAATTCATAGTGAAGGCTGTAAATGGTGGGCCCCTGCCTCTGAGCAGCCAAATCACCGTCCGAGTAGTTGTCTTGGATGTCAACGACAACCTCCCAATGATCTTGTACCCGCTGCAAAATAGCACTTCGCCTTGCAATGACCTAGTGCCCAGGGCAGCAGAGGTGGGTTACTTGGTGACCAAGGTGGTCGCTGTTGATGGGGACTCTGGTCAGAATTCCTGGCTTTCTTATGAGCTGCTCAAAGCCACAGACCTTGGGCTGTTTTCCGTGGGACGGCAAAATGGAGAAATTAGAACCTTGCGACTGATATCGGAGAGAGACCACATGAAGCAAAAAATGGTCATTGTGGTTCGGGATCACGGCCAGCCTACCCTTTCTACCACCGCCACATTGAACATTCTGCTGGTGGATGGCTTCTCTGATCCTTATGTACAGCTTCGGGATCAGTCCAAGCGGGAGAGGAAGACAAACCCCTCCACTAAATACCTGGTCATTTCCTTGGCTGTGCTTTCCTGTCTCTTTCTGTTTTCAGTAACTGTAATCTTTCTCATTCACATATATCAGAAGATCAAATATCGAGAAAAACGGTTTACTACCTCTGAGCACTTCTACTATGACTGCAGTTTCCCTGGTCATTTGATAGATGGACAGGGTGCAGAGACTCTGGATCGGGTCTGTCCTTATGAAGTGGGCTCGGCTACTGGCACTAATAATAGTGAATTCCGGTTTCTCAAACGATTCATGCCCAACTTCCCAGTTCCTTCCGGTGTGGTAGAAAGAAATAAGGGAGAAAGTGAATCCCATTTACCCTCCAACTTGGATCTGGACAACCCAAGGAGGTCAGAGGGCTGTCCCAGAATGTCTGATGAATACATGTAAGTCCTTGTCACTGGACGTAAGTGAATGGTAGATTGTGAAAATGAGCCTCTATTCAACTTAACTACATCCTGTGTAACACCTGGTTCCTTAGGTCCTGCAAAGAACAAACCTGGAATCGATCTTGGAAGTGAACACAGCAAGTGATTTTCTCAGTACAACAAAAAGATGATGCTTTCCAGAGCTAAGAGCTCCAGTCTTCCAACAGCTAGAATCCCATTAAGGAGGTGAATTAATAGCTGAATGGTTTGTAAATATCAGAGAACTAGGATCCTTTGACTTTCTTCTGCTTCCTGAGATGGGCTTATTAATGAGTGATTCCTTCACTTGTGCACAACCTGGAAAAAGATCAGCTCTATCTCCATTGGCTCCAAGCAACCAAACACTCTATTTCTTACTTTAAAGTCTTCAAATGTCTCCACAGGTGGACCATATCTCAGGCAGAAGGCTCCCAATCCCTGATAGCCTATTCAGAATTCTCTAGCTTTTGCCCTTCTGTGGGTGGTTAAGAAAACTTGGGGAAGATCCTTCTGTTATGTGGGACCCTTCTCTCCAGGATGAAGAATGATAATCAGAAAATCAGTACCATGTTTGCTCTTATCCAGAAATCTCTGGATTCATTGATGAGACAGTTGCTATCTATTTAGTGGAGTCCTTTAGCCATAGTAATCAGGGATAAGCATCTGAGAAAATCTGATGGTTGGTAGATACCAAAAGAAGAAATCATAGAAGCAGCAATGAAAAGCAAAATGGAAATAAGTGTCAGAAGAGCTAAGTGAGAAGTTGCACATGGCTTGTCGTGGAGCACAAATTTCTGCATACTAAATTGTAGTTAACTTCCTTGATAAGATAAATTCATATCTATATTGGATCATCTCAAGTCTCCCTCTCTTGACTGCAGGACTGTCTTCTTGTTTAGATATTTAGAAGATGTCTACTTGAGGAAAACTGTAAATGTTTTTTCCATGGAGACTGTTTGTTAATTTCCTTGCAATCTCACACTTCAGGAGATCAATTTAAGATGCAAATAGAGATTAAAGGTATCATTGAAATAAGATAAAACCAGCAGCAAAATTAAATTATAAGACCAACTCTCCCATTAAAAAGAAGCTCTTGAGTCCAAGTAGATGTTGGTAGGTGGAACAAAGTTTTCAGAAAGAACAGATATTTAATCTAAGCAGTCTTGAAGAATGGAATTTGTAGGTCTTGAAAAATTGCAGGATAGTTGAATTAGTTATATTTCAAAGTCTTCATAAAACAAAGTGTCTCTGGGAAAATTCATTTTAAGAAGTCTAGTTCTGAAACTGGTTCCTGAAATTTGCCAGTGTGCCAGGCCCAGGCCTTAGGCAAGCAGAGCATTCTGCAGAAAAATGTTTCAATGGCAGAGGCCCTGTATAATTCCACTTCTCAGGTATGTCTATATTCAGTGAGACTGAATCTCTAAGGGAGCTGAGGTAAATATCAATTGGCCCAATCAAGCTACTTTGAACAGCCAGATCTTTGGGGGGAAGCTTCAATCTGGTAAAAAACTGCAGTTCTCCAGGAAGATATAGTAAGTTTTCCATAAATGCTTATAGATGGTGCTGAAAAGTAAAGTAGGGTAATGGAAAGACCTAGATCTGAGTCTTAGCTCTGACGTATACTATCCATGTCACAATGGTCAAGTAACAACTTTCAGTTTTCTCACCTGCAAAATTGACCAAATACTGCTTTTACTAACTCCTTCATGGGTTTGTTGTGAGGTAAGTACTATATAAAAATTAGCTATGGTGATAGTGATGAGGATGGTGACAATGATGATGATGATAATAATATGTTAAATTGGTATGTTCTTCAAAGACACAGGTTCTCCTCCACACCATGATGTAGCAACATAGGGGGAATTTACTAGAAGACCAAATAAGCCCTCTATTAATAATTTAATATGTGAAAGGCCTATAAAATTAGATACATTCTTGCTTGCTCATTTCCTTGGAGATGCCAATGCTCATAATTTACTAGTTAAAATTAAGAGGATGGGGAGGCTTCCCCTTTGTTTTACTGTGAAAGCTTTCCCTTCTTCTGTCCCTGATGTCTGTGGCCCTGATTTTGATTCCTAAGCCCAATTCCCCTGTCTTTGAACTCTCTAGGATAAAATGAAAACTGCTAAGATTTCCTACTGTATCATTCTTTAATATGAATTGGTTTTTGGAAAGCAAATTAAGAAATGTTTTGTTGATCTTTTTTGTTTGTTCCTCTATTAAGCAAGTTTTAATATTCAGTCACTTACAAAATACAAAAAAGAAAGAAAAATATTTTGGTGAACATATTTCTTTCTCTAACAGAGGTCTTAGTGACTGAGTGCTCTAATTACAAATAATTTCCCTCTGATGAAATTTCATTTATGTGCTTTGTTTTGTGAGAATATGGCAAATGCAACTCTACATGATCCCTTCTGGGAACAAGTGTGTTCTGTGCTTTAATAATCATTAATCCATTTCTGGCTCTGGCTTTAGATCTCTCTTAATGGTGCTTTCAATACATCTGTTGAATTTGAATTTGATCTTACAAAATTCCTTAACCTTCCTTTGTCTTGCTTTCCTCATTTGTGAAGTGAAGATGTTGGACCAAATAATTTCTAAAGTTCCCCCTAGCTCTTAAAACTCCATGGTTCCATACATTAGAATGATGATTGATAGTATTTTTTAAACAATTATGTTTCTTAAATATGATATTTAAAAAATATTTTTACAGGTTTGCTATTTTGTTGGTTTTTTTCTACATATTGGATGTATCAAGTTTTTTTTCTATGTTCAAATATCTCCAGTTTTATCATGAAAGATATGATGAAACTATTTCTAAGCTCTGTTTAAAAGATTTGTTTCCTTGTTACTTTGAGGGTGTTATTCAAACTATAATAGCCATTTTGCTAATCATATCTAAGCATAGCCAAGGTCAATCTCAGCTAACCAACACCCAGATCTTCCCTTTCTCCTTGAACTCCCCCATCAGTATAGGGTGCTGTAAGCAATTTTAATCATTTTACAAAATGGTTAGAAAGAATAAGTTAAATCATACTGAGGGTGTCTTATCATTCTCTGACCCAGTAAGGAATAGTCCCTTCATAACCCCAGTACTAGCAATTGTACCACTTAAGAGTTGGGAGAAGGTGCCAATCAATAGCAGTAATGCTGATGCTCCTCCCCACACCCATGCACTAGTTTTTGGGGTACAACTCCAGAGGTGGGGGATGTGGGGATGCTTCTCTCTCTCTCTCTCTCTCTCTCTCTCAGGGGAAGAGTTCAACAATATGGAGTGTGTATCTTGGTAGGAAGAATGCATAAATGGGCCTACTGGGTAGCAATCACACTCCAATTGGAGCAGTCATCAGCACATGGAGGATTCCCATATGAGAAAAACTGACATGCTGGGATGATAAGTGTCCTGGGAGGTGCTATGGTTTTCTAATTATGAAGTGTATATATATAATATTTTAGGTTATTATCTTTCAGTAAGATTTTCTTTTCACATATTATAGCCACTGTACTTGTAAGTGGCAATTAATAATAGGCTATCCTGCGAAGAGAGTTTCTACCAGTTTATCTTGGTGTCAGACAAGTAAAATATAAAACACCTCATTACATAGTACAAATTCTTCTTACCATGAATGTTACATCATGGTTACATTAAAACTTAGAGGCAATTGTGCCCTAATTATTTTTGGTTGTAGCCTCAGTTTATAAAGGAAGTGTCATTGTCTTTAGCAAGCAAAGTGACATTCTGAGAGACCCATTTTTTCATTACCACAGAGATTTATTGTAGACTTCCAGCCTTTTGCTACTTCACTGAGGTTATGGATCTCTCTCTCTCTCTCTCTCTCTCTCTCTCTCTCTCTCTCTCTCT